CTGGTCTTCCATTGAGGAAAGAGTTTCTGCAGAGTTTCTATAAATTTTACAGTTCTTTTTGGACATAAGTAGTCCTACAATAGGTGGAAGACTTTCTGGCCTTCTATTGAAAGGTAAGCTTTCAAAAGTGACTTTTCTTAGACCTGCCCAACGATGTTCCTACAAAAGGTCTTTATGTGAGGGTCTGTTGTAGGGTGCAATTGGTGGAAAACTGTCATAACCATTGTCACTTTTACAGAAAAAAGGTAAAAGGTCATCTTTGATAGCCATATTGGCCAAGAAGACTATGATATGGGGGATCTTTAAGCAAGTGCCTTTAGTGGTCAAAAGGCCCACTTTCCTCCTCATCATCATCTTGAACACCATGAACCTCGTCACCATCATCGTCATCATCATCATAGCCATTACCCATTATCATCATTAGCAACATGACCAGTTGGTATTATCAGCCAACATCCATACAGAAATACTTACGTTATTTCTTCTTTTTTGTTGTACAGTTTGGCTTGGCACACAGTCATATTGTTATTGTTGCTGTTGTTGCCATTTGCTTGGGCTGTCGCTTTGTTGTGGTTGTTGCTGTTGTTTTGTTTCTTCTGTTGATATCTAAAATCTAAAAACAAACCGAGAAAAATATAATAAAAGGAATTCTGCGGATTGTTGTTATTATTGTTATTATAATTCCTTGAAGTGGCTGATATCAGTAAAATATAATCATCAAAACTAACAAACAGACACACTCACACACACACATATGCGGACACACAGGCACACATACACACTCTCGCTGGCAGAGAAACAGGCAACAAGCCATTTACCGAGGAGACGACATACACAGACCAGCAAAGAAAGATATTTATCCAACAGTACATATTCATTCGTCCATTTATCGTTACCCCATCCCCCTTCCCTTCCTCTTGACTGCACTCCACCCCTCGTTGTTACACTCATGTGATATGTAAGTGGTTGGTAATGGCTGGGTTTTGTTGAGCGGGGTAATGCCTCCCAATCCACAAAAGTTTTACGTTTCGTGGCTGTTCTGTTTTATTTTTCTGAAAATATTTTTTTTAATGAAATCTAAAAAAAATCCCCAGCAACTGAAATGAAAATAACCCAAAAAGTGCAACTCATGAGGAGTACGACGAGGAGGATGATGATGATGATGTCGGTGTTGATAATACTGATTATATAGGAATACTAACCTCCCGACAATAAAATGTAGCCAAAAAAAAAAAAAAAAAGAAGCGAAATCCAGATACCACTCAAGTGCAAAATGCTGCATGGTTTCCATTTATTTCGTTTCTTTTTTTAATTTTTAATATTTCATTGAAAAAATACGAAAAAAAGAAATACTTTACTTAATACTTGTAAAATGAAAAATTGTACGTCTGTATTTATGATGACGATAATAATAATAATGTTGATCGCATTCAAGAGATATCCACCACATCTTTTTGTCGGTGGTAATGCCCACCTTATTTTGGATTTTTTTCTTTTCTTTTTTTTGTGATCGTCGTGTCTGGTTTTTTGTATTTGTTGGAGTAATGTTTTTGAAGATTTTTGTTGCTCTGATAATCTGAAAAAGGCAGATTAAAATGAAAATAATTGTAATGAATTTAGGTGGCTTGCTCATTGTCTTTGTTGCAGTATAGAAGGGCCCATATGTAGGACAAGAGTCCATTCAAAAAGATGGAAGACCTTGCAGAAGGCACGAGGCATTTGAAAAGTTCTTCAGCCAAGTAAGTAATTTTAAAAGCCCTGTATAGACAGAAGACCTTCAGAACGTTTCGTTAGATTAAAGACATTGCAAACATTGCCTTCGATTATTTTATATACGCCATATGATTCGAAACTCCACAAAATTTGCATTCTCGAATTTCAACAGAAATATTACTAAAGGTCGTAAAGATTTTAAAACTTCAGACATCAGTAGAATGTAATACGAAACGAAAACACTTCTATAGAAAGAAGGTTGACCTCTCAATGGGTCTTCTATAAATAAAACAAAAAACGTTCCAAGAGGATGTCCATAGATTGAAGGTTCAAAACAAATAGTCTCACATAGCCAGAGGTCTTTCCAATGGACTTGTCGGCCAAAAGACATTTCAAAAAGTTTTCAATAGTCCCCCAAAAAGCCTTTTGTAGCAAGACTTTTCAAAGGGGTTCAATAGACAAAATCCATATTAGAAATCTTTTAATTCAAAAGGTCTATGACCGGGCCTTAAATTAACAAAAAAAAAATCGTGACTGTAAAAAAAGTTCCCTCAGTAGGCCTTCAATAGGCAGAAGAACTTTCAAATGGTATTATATAATCGGTAGATTTTTCAAAGGTCTTCTGTAGAGCCTTTGCCCTTTAAAAAGCGTTTACTGAGTCATAATATCGATATCTAAAGGACTTTTTTTCTCATAGCGTGATAAAGATGTCCACAGCCATACAATAGCTACAGAGGATATATATCATTGGATATGGACAAAACATGTCTCATCGACATATCGCTTTTAGACCCTAGGTCTCTTTGAACCCAATCCGTTTGAGGACAGGGGTTGACCTAGGAGAAATACGAATCAAATTGTCTTCAAATTTCACACATTTCAATATTTTTATTAACGCAAAATCTGGTGTGAAGGTGGAATATATCGGCGCATTCTTTCTGGTACCTCCATCACAGCGGTCAAATTTTTGAATAGCCATGAAGGTCGTAAATATTTCTATAAACACAAGATCTGTTAAAAATATTGTAGATCCTTCTTCTGATACCTCCCCACAAAAGGTCAACCTTTATTATATTGTTTATAAGCGTACAAAAGCATTTTGGTGAGAATTTTCCTGGAAAAAAGTAATCGTGATGGAATTCAATCGAGATAGCGTGATTTCTATATATTTGGCTGGAAAACCACAAGTGGCTATCGTTAGAGCACTCCAGCATTTTAATGTGAATAAATCTTTTCGTGTGTCTCGTACCAACGCTCGTTACCGTGCTACTGGTAGCGTAACCCGACGTCAAGGCAGTGGACGGAAGAAACCAGTAACATCAGCAGAAATGGTTCGAAAAGTAAAGAAGTGAATTGATCGAAACCCGCGTCGCACTGAACATATCGCAATATTCCATTCGGCAAATATTGAAAAATGAGCTCGGGGTAAAGCCATTGAAATTCCAAAAAGTGCAAGAACTTACACCGCAACGGAAAGACAATAGACTCAAAAGAGCTAAGGAGTTGCTTCGCTTGGTCGAAAGTGGTGAACTACCGAATTTGGTTTTCTCCGATGAGAAAAAACATTCGTTGTCCAGCAGTTTGTAAACAAACAGAATGATCGTGTTTACTTGCCAAAGAGGTCACCTGAAAATGTGCGGCTGGCCACCAGAACTCAAGTGCCGGCCATGGTTATGGTGTGGGCCGCCATAACAGCAGATGGTCGCTCTCCGCTCGTATTAATCGACCGTGGCATTAGAATAAATGCCAAAAAGTATCGCGAAAATATTCTGAAGGGTGTATTAAAGCCTTGGGTGCGCAAACATTTTGGCCGCAATCCTCGGACATTCCAACAGGACTCAGCGCCATCGCACTCAGCACGCGCCACCCAAGAGTGGTTACAAAATGGTTTTCCTCTCTTCATTTCTAGTGCACAATGGCCACCAAAATCTCCGGATACCAATCCGTTGGACTATTGTTTTTGGAGTATTTTCGAAAGCAAGGTTGGCACTAAAAAATACCAAAATGTCGATCACCTCAAGCAAGCGCTTCGCCGGGAGTGGGCCAAAATACCGCAGAGCAACATTCGGGCAGCGTGTGACGGTTTCATTGGCCGTTTGAAGGCCATTTTTCGCCGGAGATGGGCCAAAATATCGCAGAGCAACATTCGGGTAGCGTGTGACGGTTTCATTGGCCGTTTGAAGGCCATAATTCGTGCCAAAGGAGACCAATTCGAACAAATGTGAACTTATTCTAAAATTTGATGTTTTTTCCGACATTTTTTGTTTTCATTCAATGAAATTAACAAAAAAAAATTTTAAAAATTATGGCCTTTGACTTTGTTGCAGTTTTTTTATCTCAACCCGTAAATACCCTAATTTTAAAAAATTGTCATTCTGCATCGAAGGGTGGTGAAATCGTCCATGATGTCCGAGAAGATAATTTTAAATTTTGCCTAACAAAGGCAATCACTAACCAAATTGTACACGGATAGAATATCCCTTCTCCAGTTAATGCAGTTTGTGTATCTGCTTTCTTTAAGGCTTTATTCAGCTCATTTCGTACATAGACTATATTTTTATAACCTCAGCCTTATAGCTGAGGTTTATATTTTTTGTAAAGCCAATAACGTACTTTGTGGAAATAATTGTTATAGACCCCGTTTTAGAACATTTAGAGTCGAACTTATAATGTCTGCCAGACTTTTTTCCTTATTTCTACTTATTTACCTCAACTCGGTTTTGTGACCGTACGAGCACCCTCTGTTACCTCCTTACACATTTCTCTGCAATTCTTAAAATTTTTGGTCTATTTTATTCAAGTTTCCCATTTGAATTTTGCAATGGTTTATGACAAAAGTTGTATGTGCTGGTCGTCGTAAAGTCCCTACTATAACGGCTACATTCGGTATTTTTAAGATATTAACAGAATTTTTAGCTGATCTTATTTTTTTGAAAATTGCCAAAATCTCTCAAAATTGTGGAGGGTATTCAAAGATCGTCCCGGACGAACTTACAGCTTTTTTGCTTGTTCCTTTTTTTATTGAAAAAATTGAATGTTATTTTCGAATTCATGGAAAATTGGATTGTAATGGGAAATGGTTACATGTTTACATTAATTTGTAATGGGTTATGTGATTGGTCATTTTTAACGGGTTCATTTCAATATACATTTTTCCATTAAAAATGTCATTAATAAGTATTTTGTTATATGTGCCCCAGATTGGGCGCCATTTTTATCCAATTGTTTATAAATTGTTCAATTTTACAACTGTACTCATTAATATCGTTTTCTCTCTCTCTTTACAGGTGATTGTTCAGATTCCACCGAAGACATGACAATAGATAGTAGAGGTAAGTTAGAAAACATAATATTCTCTCACCACATTTTCTCTCTTTCCCACCTCAAGAAATGAACAAAACACAAACTTTGTTATCTACAATTGTTGGCCAATTTTCCATAAAACCCCACAAAACACACACAAAATCAATATCAATGTTACAACACTCATAAAATGAATGGATTTTTCCAAGGAAACGATTGAAGAAAAAGGGTTATATAGGGATTTTATAACCTACCACCCACCCTCCTCCATACCTCAGTATCGCATTGCCCAAAAGCTGTAATGACTTTTTGCCAATAATGATGATTAAACTTATGACCAGCAGAGTATGACTACTGCTGCTGCTCTGGTGCTGTTGCCACAGGATAATGTGAGTGTATGTTTTGTTAGAGATAAGCATAAAAGGATATAAAAAATATCCCTTTTATCACTTGAATATTTTGTGTGCGAATGGACGGCAGAGGATGGGAGAGGAAAGAGGTAGTCTCTCTGTGTGTGTGTGTTTGGTATCTTATCCTTAACTGGCACACACTCGCACTCACTCAGACACATTTTGTCGCATTTGCAAATCCTTGTTCTTTTTTTTTGCTGTCACCAACTTCCTTACCCTTTTTTTCGAGTTGGACTAACACTTTCCTCCCTTCTGCTGCCTTCCCAAAATAAAGCCAAACGAATAGCCCTTTTAACCTCTCATAAATTTGAAAGTTAATTCATATTTATAACAATGATTATGTGGTTTTGTAAATGGCTGGATGGACAGACGGACGGATGAGGGACCAAATGAAACGCAAGGAAGCAAAAGAAAAGGGGTTCCTGTGGCGAACACACACACCCATCCAAATTGATGAATAGATAGAGATAGATAGGTGGTGTCGTTGCTCGTTTATTGTCATTAAAAGGGAGCGCGTCAAAAAGCTGAATATTAAGCCAAAGAGTTTATTAATGCCTCTCTATCGCCTTCTCTCTCCCTCTGCTTGTCCTGCTGTTGTCATTTCCTTTCCATGATTATGATGACGTTGGTATAACTGCTCGCCTTCGTCGTCCATTGTAATGCCACCAATAAAAAAGTGTTAATCTGCTGCCAACCAACCAGCCATCCTTTCGCTTTATTGACCCCGCCACTCCCCTCGCCCTCTCTTCTTTGACGCTTTTCTGCTCCACTTAACCACTTTTGTTCGGTGATTTGTGTTCACTTCTTTATTTCACATTTTTATTTAGTTTTACTGCACTCATTATTGTTGTCACAGCGCGTTTTCTTTTCTTCCTTCTTCCTCCCATCCTGTGTTGACTTTTCTTATCTCTGAGCCATGCCAATGATATTTTTCTTTCTTTTTTTTCGTTCTATTTCTCCTTTCTTCCGGTCATCCTTTCGCGTTGTTAGCATGGCTTTAAAGTTCAATCATGTCACTCATTTAGCCAGTCAGCGAACCAGCTAGGCATTGAGGAGGGCTTTTCCTTAATTCGTTTATTATCAAGGCCTGCATGAATTGGTGGGGGTTGGGAGGGGTACGTTTACTTTCATTTATGAAGGCTTGTTATTAGCACCGGGACGTGTGAAACTCATTTCCTTGATGATTATGTAATGTGATTTTAAATGTCATTTATGTTTGGAGGAGAACGCCCGCTCATTAATTAACGTTGTTAATAAGAAGGTAGCGAAGCGGGATGGGGTAAAAAAATTATATTTTTTATACAACATCTTCTGGTATTCTAAGAGAGAAAACCCACATTCTGGTCTTCTATAACAGATGAACTTCGGATCTTCTGAAATGACCCTCGGGTCTTCTATAAGAGAATTCCTTCTGAGTTTCTTAGGAAGATTTTCTGGGGTTGAATAGGACATTCTGGGGATCTGTAGACTTTCTGGATCTGGTCTTCTATGAATAGACTTTCGGGGTCTTCTATAATGGGCTGATAGCTCTTCTAGAAGATTTTCTGGTCTTCTAGGAAAAGACCTCGTCTTCTAGGAGAAGACTTTCTGGTCTTCCAAGAAAAGGCCTTGTCTTCAATGAGAAGACATCCTGCTCTTCCATGAGAAGACATTCTAGCCTTCTATGAGAAGACCTTCTGGTCTTCTATGGGAAGACCTACCGGTCTTCTATAAGAGAAGGCTTCTTCCTTTCTTCTATAAGAGAAGCCTTCTTCAAGTCTTCTATTATGGAAGGTCTTCTTCTAATCTTCTATTATAGAAGACCTCCTCGCGCTCTTCTATGAGAGAAGACCTCCTCGCGCTCTTCTATGAGAGAAGACCTTCTCCAGCTCCTCTATGAGAGAAGACCTCCTCGAGCTCCTCTATGAGAGAAGACCTCCTCGAGCTCTTCTATGACAGAAGACCTCCTCGAGCTCTTCTATGACAGAAGACCACCTCGAGCTCCTCTATGAGAGAAGACCACCTCGAGCTCTTCTATGAGAAAAGACCAGCTCGAGCTCTTCTATGAGAAAAGACCAGCTCGAGCTCTTCTATAAGAGAAGACCACCTCGAGCACTTCTATGAGAGAAGACCACCTCGAGCTCTTCTATGAGAGAAGACCACCTCGAGCTCTTCTATGAGAGAAGACCACCTCGAGCTCTTCTATGAGAGAAAACCACCTCCAGAGCTCTTCTATGAGAAGACCTCGAGAGCTTTCTATGAGAAGACCTCAAGAGCTCTTCTATGAAAGAAGACCTGAAGAGCTCTTCTATGAAAGAAGACCTCAAGAGCTCTTCTATGAAAGAAGACCTCAAGAGCTCTTCTATGAAAGAAGACCTCAAGAGCTCTTCTATGAAAGAAGACCTCAAGAGCTCTTCTATGAAAGAAGACCTCAAGAGCTCTTCTATGAAAGAAGACCTCAAGAGCTCTTCTATGAAAGAAGACCTCAAGAGCTCTTCTATGAAAGAAGACCTTAAGAGCTCTTCTATGAAAGAAGACCTCAAGAGCTCTTCTATGAAAGAAGACCTCAAGAGCTCTTCTATGAAAGAAGACCTCAAGAGCTCTTCTATGAAAGAAGACCTCAAGAGCTCTTCTATGAAAGAAGACCTGAAGAGCTCTTCTATGAAAGAAGACCTCGAGATCTTCTATGAGAGAAGACCTCAAGCTCTTCTCTGAGAAGAACTCGAATGCTCTTCTATGAGAGAAGACCTCAAGAGCTCTTCTCTAAGAGAAGACATCGAGAGATCTTCTGTGAGAAGACTTCAAGCTCTTCTATGAGAGAAAACCTCGAGAGCTCTTCTATGAGAGAGGACCTCTAGCTCTTCTATTGAAAGGACCTCTAGCATTTATATGGAGAAGACCTTGAGCTCTCCTTCTGATGGAAGACCTCGAAAACTTTTAGAAGAAGAACTTTTGGTCTTTTACAAGAAGTCTTACTGGACTTCAATTCGAAGTCCTTCGTTGACCTTTTTTGATTAGAGTATGAATTGTTCCTCGGTGATAGTAATACCTCAGAAAGGGATAGCTCTTTCCCGATCTTCCATAAGAAGACCACGATAAATTTAATACGGTTTCCATTATCTTGCACTTTATAATTGCTTTTTTGGTAATCATTACTTTTGCTTTTTGTAAATCTGATTTCAACTGAGCGCGATAAGCCCAGAACAAAACAAAAATACACTACTTCCTCCCCAGCTGTAAACATAAAATATGTTTCATATTTCTAAGTCATCGTTGTTGTTGTTTTTCTTTTTTAACTGATAATCAGAATTTATTTTTATTCTTTGGATTCTTTGTCTGCCATCCCAGCATAATTCCCATCATTCATATTTTTCAGTTCACTTCAGTTTGGTTCTGTTCTGTTCTGTTCACTTCTCTTATCGCCTTTAATCCCCAGCGATTAGACTTTATGTGAATTTTTTCGATTTTTTTCTCATTTGTTTTCAAATGAAGATTTGCTTATCTGTCATTATAAATTTTTGTTCCGAAAAGTCACCCTTAACTGTTTGCCAAGAGCAGTGTCAGGCAGCGGCAGATGAAGCAGGATGTGGGATAAGAAGGGGTCTAGGGTATTAGTAGTAGCAGCAGCATCATCATCAACCATCTATCCATCCGACAAACCAACCAACCGTCCAAATCATGGCTTACATGCCACACCAAGGACTGTGTGTGTGTACGTGTGTGTGTGGCAGCAACTGCAATCTATGACTCCTGGTGGAAGGATAAAAAGCTAATGTTCATTTCATAGTTTCTCCATTTTCCCATCATTAATTTCAAAGTCATTTGACTTTTCACATCGTTTTGTAAATCTTTTTTGTCATATGGAAAGACAGGCGTCAGTGAAAATGAGATATGGCAAAGTTGGTTGCCAGGGAGTGTGAGTGTGTGTGTGCATACTTTTTTTTGTTTTTTGACTGATATGAGTGATGGTATTGCGTGTGTCATTTTTATTGTTGGTGGAGTGTGCTGGTGCAAGTGTGTTCGACCATAAGCTAAAGTGGGCGTTTTTCTTTGGCAGTTCATAGACTAAAAAAGAAATTAAAAAGGATTAGTGCAGAGCTTGTCGGCAATGGGAGATATTCATAGCTCGTGGAAAAAGGCAAAATATTTCAAGGTAGAAATTTGAATCTTTAAAGACTCTTAGATATCCTAGATTCAGACATTCTTTTGAGAAACATCGGGAGTTTAAACTGGTTGGCTGGAAATGTTGGGTCAAAAAGACATATTTAGCTAATGAGGTGTTAAAGTCCATCCTTATTTTATCAATTCAAACACTACTAATGCCTATATATTGAACTTTACAAATGTGGCGCCCAACGTAACTTTCCTTTCATGGTTATTATACCCTACACCACATAGTGGTAAGGGTATTATGTCTTTGTGCATTTGTTTGTAACATGGAGAAGAAAACCTGATAGGCCCATATTTCCTTTTGGTGATCAGCATAGAATCACATTTTGAGTCGATTTATGCATGTCAGTCCGTCCCTCCATCTGTCCATGTATTTTTTTAAACAAAATGCAGGTCGCATTTATTATTCGATTGAGATGAAATTTCCCAAAATAACATTTTATTGGCTCAAGTACGAACCCTATTGAAAT